GGCTATGGGTTGATAATGAACGAGAATTAGATACAGAGGTAGAAGAGGAGGAAAATAGTGATAGCGCTGGACCTAGCGGGACGAGAGAATAGGGGGTAGTCATCGCCTTCGGGCAAGCTTTGGAGCTGACTTCCACTGGTGCACCAGTTTTCCCTCCCATGCAGTCGCGCCAGGTCCAAGCTTTTTAGGCATTTTCTACAGTTGGAAATTCTTTATCAAAAATCCCAAAATAGCAATATGCTGTCATAATAAAGAGAGTAATAAACATTACTCGCCCCGAAAAAAAAGGTTTGGAACTAGCGCTAGCACTGGGTCATGTGACAATATGCGTCATCAATATAGAAGGTAACGCCGATCATTACCCATACGTCATAGAAACTTGTCCGTCCATACTACAGTTGCACAAGTACATCCTAAAAACCAAATATAACCATGTCGGTAAAGCTCTTCTGCCTTGAAAAAGGAAAGACTCCTGCCGTCCAGCACGCCTTTGAAGTTCAGATTGGTAGGGATGAGTCTATTAGTGTGCTCAAGAAGCTTATCAAGGCGGAGAAGACAAATGACTTTGCTGGTATCGACGCCGATAAACTCAGACTTTGGAAGGTAGACATCTCAATTGACGACGACGGTGCTATTCAGGCCCAAACTTTACTACAAGGCAACCAGTTACGGGTGGCAGATGAGATTGGAGAACTTTGGAACCCACCACAGAAAAAACATATACATGTAGTCGTTGAGGCCCCTACTGGTAATTAATTATCCTAGCTTTTCTTGCTTACTGCTCACGCCACACATTAAATTCCCTCACTGTCGTTGTATTTTGGTATACTGTTTCGACGTTGACTAACTTGTGCTTTTCTTTCTTTCCTGCTTCTTATCGTCTAACACCCTCCAAAAACACATCTACGTTATCATAGAACCAACTGTTGCCACTGGTGAGTCGTAATTAATTTAGTTAGTTAACGCGAAATGGCTCAACTTTTTGCTCATTATCTCAACACCTTCTTTTATCTTGCTTACATAAACAGGGTTAACACCATCTCTGAAGAGACATTTGGATGAAATCAAAACCGAAATAAGTTCAGTACGTTATGAAGTAAGGAGAACACGACTTAATACAGAGATCTGGCTTAGTGCTCCTTGTATGTCATTAATCTGATCTGTACAATCCATCACTATTCCTGCAAACACCATTGAATATTTGTGTTTAGCTACCACTACGGAAACTGATAAGGGCATTTATGTGAGAAACCATGGTACCCAGATGTCCTTCCCAATTCAACTGACCGCGACGACCCGGAGACAAGCACTTGGAAGGTTTAATAGCCCGCCTGGCGCCGAGGTCCCAGAAAAAATATTACAAGAATATTTTATTGACGAATGCAAAGCATTATCAAGGAGTACAAAACTTGTAGTTGAAGACTCCCATTCTATTCCGTTGCTGGCTACTCGAAAGCCAGACTTCGCTTTCATCCAAAAAGGGAGTCCCTTAAACGCATTAGATGTCGTAGCTGTTGGTGAGATCAGAAAATGCGCCGGCAATAAATTCTCAAATGCAGATATAGGACACGCGGTGTCATTTGGCGAAAAAGTACTTCAAATTCAACCTCGGAGAACCTACGTATATGTGGTGTTGACAGATTGCAAGGTTATTTGTATCTTTAAGGTGAAGAAGCACGACAGTAATACCCATGACAACATCCGATTCTCGTATGAATACACACCACCATATAAGCTAACTTACGAAATCAAGGGTACCCCTCCACCTGGGTGGCGACACCTCGTAACGGTTATGGAATGCTCTCCGGATCAGCTTGGATGGATCGAGCCATCGTTAAACTTCGGTTCAGATACTGTCACATTGGTTCGACCCATCAGTACAGGAAGGACTAGCATTGTATATGAAGGAAAGCTTAATGATGGGATATCTGTGGTAGTGAAAATAGCAAAAAGCGACAAATATTGGTCTTGTTTTGAAAAGGAAAAAGCAGTACTGGAAGCTTTATCGAGTTTGAACTCGTCTCATCTTCAGACCCTCCTCCTGGACAATGAGGGCACCCTTGTTACAACTCCTCTTTGTACGAAAGTAAATAATCTCCGAAAAGAGGATATCGGAAACATTATCAACACCCTCAAGACTCTCCATTCAGAATTCAATCTTGTACACATGGATCTTCGAAAATACAACTTTCTCCGTAGTGACAAAGGTGACATCTTGATTATCGATTGGGGATATAGCGCAACAATAGACGAAACTGGGCCTTTTGCGGGCGCACTTGAATGCATGCCCAACGATATCCTGGCATCATTGGCCGACGGGGGACAGATAACTTATTCAGGGAGAATTGACTTGATATGTTTGGCAAAGGCGTTTTACCTGATGCTTCATAAACCGCCAAATGTGGAGAGAATTTCCTTTGGAGCAAGTCATAACATCAGCTCACGGGCGCAAAATATATTGGCTTTTTGGGAGTCTAATGCCGAATCAGAATTGTGGAATAAAATTTTTCAAGACGCAGAGGGCTTGAGGTACGATAGCCTAATCCAAGAAATTGAAAAGCTTTTTTAGGTGTTGATAGACATGATAGATTAATCTTAGATAAAGTCATTATGTACAGCACCTTTTTATTGCAAAAGTATTTGTAATTTGCTATATCAGGTATAGGAGTGGTTCATTTCTCTATGAATTTCGAAAATAAATTTGCACTCTTGAGATGTGTTTTTTTCTTATAAGGGGCAGAAAATAATTCAAAACTGCTACGTGAATTTTTCTTATAATACTCGTGAACCATACTGAAGTTTTTTCCGTTAGTATTGTGCAGACAACAGTTTTGTAATAACGAGAAAGTCGGCTCTAAACAACATCTATCAATTTATTATCGATTTGTCATCATCGGATCATCTGACTCGTGTCATCGAGAGATCTAGGATGCTTTGTGTATTGCCTGCCATCGTGATTCCTGATGGTTGCTTACATCGACACCATAATGTGCATGTAAAAAATGATTGCCATAACAGCAAGACAAATATGGGTTAGCGTAGATTTTATTTTTCGCCAGTTCGTGTTGCACAGCCGGATATGTCTTACGGATAAATCAACGCGATATTTTTTAGTCATCTGTATATTCGGCACTATTGTGGAACAATGAGACATGCCGGCGCGAAAGAATAAATCATAGTTCGAGGATTTTTCTTGACAAAACCGCACGAATCGTGACGATCAGAGTCATGTGATTTTTAATAAACTTTTGAACATATCCGCATCTTGTATAAACAATGTCAGACACTCAATCAAAAATCGATTTGTTGCAAGAATTAAATTCTCAACTAATTGCCACAATTGCTGAGCTTAGAAAGGACAATGTCGAGATCAAAGCCGAGAATACAAAATTGAAGCAAGCTATAGAAGCAAATACTGAGCTCAAGACCAGATTCAAGGAGCTAGAAAAGAAAAATAAAACAGACACCAGTAATCTCATTGCTGAAAATGCTGAGCTCAGAGACAGAGTCACG